CTGCATCTGCGACGGCGACCGTCGGGTGGACTGCTCCGGCAAGGGACTGACCGGCGTGCCCGAGGGGCTCAGCGCCTTCACCCAAGTGCTGTGAGTGCGGGCGGCCGGCCGGGGGGAGGGGCAGAGGGGCGCCCGGGGGCGGGGCCGGTGGTCAGTCTCCCACGGAGGGGGGGTGGGGATTGGTCACCTGTGAGTGTGTGTATGCGTGTGTGTTTTTGGGGGGTAGGGGTGCTTTGTGCGGCAGACTTTCCAAACTTTTCCAATCCAGGGTCCAACCCCCCAGGTCGCTCCTTTTACCAGGCTTCAGCAACATTCGGCCCCCCCATTCCTCCCCCCCAACTCTGAAAGTGCTTCTGCGGCCGGGGGAGGAGGGAAGAATCTGGAAACGCTTGTCCCTGGCAACCTTTTCGCGCGACCTTGCCTTCTCGCGCGGCCCCTGCTCTGCTGGCCCAAGCTGGGCGACCGGAGGGGGTGAGGGGCCGCAGAGCGAGCACGCTTGACGGGGAAGCACCTGGAGCCTCCTGGGTTCCCGCACGTGGGGAGAGGAGAGGAAGCACCTGCCCGGCAGTCAGGGCCACTCCTTCCAGTTTGCAAGGAGAACGACCTGGCGCGGCCCTGTTCCACTCTGGGCTCCCCCACAAAAACAAGGGCGAAGGAGAGGAAATTGCAGGTTTCTTTTGGAAATACTTTTCTTAACCCCAAAAGGCCTTTTAAAAAAGACCTGCTAACCCCAGGTGGAGGATGTTTGCAGCAAAATAAGCGTTCCATAGTGTATCCCTCTGCCCAGTGGGCCAGGTAGGCAGCACTTCTCTGCTGCTGCTTAACCAGCACAGCTGTAGTCCTGAGTTGCCTGGCGTCAGGAGAGTCCCTTAGATGGCCCTGGCTTACAAAATCTGCCCCAAACAGGGGCCTGAGGACTTCAGACCTTGCCTGCGGAAAAGCAGAATCTCCAATAGGTAGTGGATGTGGTGTTGGCCAATGCCACCCGTGGAGAAAGAATTGGGTAATTGAGTGCAGTGTGGACGTCGTTGTTCTTGCATGTTGTGTTGTGTGGCCAGTTGGGTGATTAAATCAAGCACAGTGAAAGAGCTGTTTGAGGGAGGAAGGGATTCTGAGAGGCCCATGGGTAAAGGGAATTTCTTTTTACATTACAGCTACTGAAAGGGACCTCTTAGAAATAGAGAGTGTTTTAAGGAATAGTAGGCCCTATGATGAAATCCTTTTTTATGCAGACCAGAGCAGTGCTGTGTTTCCACGATGATGGTGGTGAGGTGTTTTACTTGTCCTCTGCAGATGGGTTTTACTGAGTATTTGGGGTCCTGCTGCCTTGGAAGCGCATTCTTCAGTCCTGTATCCCTTGTTTTGTCCCCTCCTCCTAGTCTGATGGATTCATTGCTAAACTGAAGTTCATGTCCATCAGTATGGTGAATGGAACTCTTCACTGATAAGCTCACCTTTGCAGTGTAGAGCAGCTTGTCTCCCAAGCTTCATTAAATAGGAATGTGGGAGCTGGAGTAAGACGTGAGGAAAGGAAGACCTGAATACAGAAGATGGGGCTGTTTTCCTCTACGTTCGGAGAATCTTTAAGGGAATGCATGCAGTAGGAGAGAGCTGCCTTTATCCAGCTTTTCCAACTATCTAAGCGTAATAGAGGGAGCTCTGGTAGCCTTGTAGTAAGGAGTTGCATTGTCAAGCCGTAGGCCCTTGGTTTGAATCCACACGGGAAAGATGAGTAAGTTCCTATTGCTTGATTGATTTATAGTCTCTGAAAACCCTCCAGAAGGTCAGCTATGATCTGCCTCAACAGCACATAACAACAATAAGTATAGTAGAAAAGTATGATTGTTATTTATTTATTTATTTTGTGTGTGTGTGTGTGTGTGTGTGTGTGTGTGTGTGTGTGTGTGGACACACCATCAAATTAGATCTGACTGCTACTGGAGGAGATTGACCCTCCTTTCCCAGCAAAGTAGCTGGTGGATTTGAACCGTGTCCCTCTGTAACTGCAGTACAGCTTCTTGCCCTGTGAGGGTCAACTTTGAGTTGGTGCCAACGAGTGACACATAACACAACAACTTGATTGTTAATAAGTTCACTCTGTAAGGAATCAGAGAGAATCTTCATTTTGTAATTTTTTTTTAGTAAACCACATAGAAACACCTCATGTTCCTAAAAGCCTGCTCTTCTCTATAAAGCGTTAGGCTTCTTCCCTGAAGGCTAACTGAAGGGAAATGAACTTCTAGATCCTTAACTTTTGAGCCTTAAAAAGTCTCATGACCTGGAAAGAGAAATAATCTGGCCCTAGTCTAGATTGTGTTGCTCAATGTAGCATCTCACAGCATTTTCTGAGCTGCAGTGGTGAGCAAAGGGGCCATACTGTCTAGATTTTATGGTCTATAGGTAGGTTGCTCATATATTATGCACCTTTGCATTCACCTTCAAAAGTGTCTCCTTGAGGGGGGCTCTGGTGGCCTAGTGGAAAGGAGCTGCAACTACAATCCCAGAGGTGCACGGTTCAAATCCACCAGATGCTCTGCCAGGGGAAGGAGGAACAATCTCCTCCTGTACCAGTCAGATCTGATTTGACGGTACACTCACACAAAAAAATAATAAAATTAAAAAACAAACAAACAAACAAACAAAAAAAAAACAAAACCAAAGTGTCTCCTTGGCCTATATGTTAGATGACCATCATATCAATAGGGATTCCAAGGGCAGTATATTTACGTTTTATGGGTGAGCCAGTAATTCTCAAAAAGACATGTGCAAGGGGTGGGTGCTGCATGTCTGCTCCCTCTTAGGACCCCTTGGAGTCAGTCACCTGGGGGCTCCTTTCAAGTACTTCCCACCTGCTCCCCACCCCCTGCTTTAGTGAGCCACAGTTTCTAAGCAAGGGACTAGATTTGGGTCCTCAGACTTATGTTCTCCACAGCAATTTCTCTGAAAATGTGTATCAGTATATTTATACATTGTGTGTGTGTGTGTGTGTGTGTGTGTGTGTGTGTGTGTGTGCGTGTGCGCACGCGCATTTCTGTGAATACACAAATATTTTTCTCTGTGTATGTGTTGTGTAAAACTTTCTGGTTTTATGACTGCCCTGGAAAGGGGTACATCCCACTTGGGAGACTCTGAGACTGACTGTTAGAGAGCAGGGATTTGATTTTCCTTCACTTTAAGTCCACAGAGCCTGGGTACATAGGAAACACAAATGTTGGATTGAAAGGGACTTAAGCCACACTGAAGAGCAGAATTGGGGTTTAGAATTCTGACATGATTCCCAGAAGCGATTGCCAAATTCAGTGTGCTTAGAATTCAGCCTTTTGTCCCATGACTCGAGAAGGCCTCAAAAAGAGTATACCTGCTTCTCCTTTAGGCTCGTTTAGACTTGTTCAATCCAACGGTGTCTTCTTTTTCCTGCTCAGAGTGGCTTCATGAAGGTCTGGGGCTAGAGTCAGTCAGATGTGATCCTTTCTATTGTTTCTCACTCTCTGATTGCCCTCCAGTGAGAACCGACTCACAGCTGACCCTTCATTGGGTTTCTGAGACTGTCTCTTAGGTGGAAGGAGATTGTCCATCATTTTTGTGGGATTCCTGTTTTTATACCATTTGCTGCACCTGTAGTAATTCTTTCTCTTGGCATTCCTTGGGTAGAGACATGATTGGTTCCTGATTCAGCCCTCTTGAGTTGAATTTATAGGTAAATTGAACAGGTGCATACGTTTGAGTTTGTGATTTTTTTTTTTTTAATTATTTAGCAGGTCGGTCTTTTTCATGCAGGAAAGGCTCAGAGCCCTTGTCCATGATTTAAAAACTGAACGTGCAGCAAGGGAGGGTGATAGGAAGAATTTGTTTTGAGTAGGCGTTGGTTCAGTCATTTCAAAGTGAGGGCAAATTTACCTACCATTAAAGAGCAAGTAAAAGTTGTCTGGTGTCTGTGGTTCCCCACAGGGAGTGCCTGTAGTTTAGGACAGCAGCTCTCAAGATTGCATCACAGTCACTGGTTTATCAGTTTACCTTGAGGTGTATTTAAAGGAAGTAATGCTGCTTAATGGTATTAATTATTGAAAGAAGGGGTTTTTTTTCTCCTTACAAATTCAAGGTGATTTTTACAATAGCAGTGTTATAAGGTCACGTTTAATCATCTATATGCCATTATTATTGATTGGGACATAGAGATGAAATGACAGGTGTTGGTGGAGAGGTATCAGGCAAGTGTGTCTTGTCTAGGTTTTGTCACTGTCCCAGTTTTGGGACCAGCATGTCGAGGACACAAACTTTCACACCGTAGAAGATATCTGGATAGTAGTTTCAGAAGGTAAAGGCTGTTTGAGTCTTCATGGAGACAGGGGTGGGTCTTAGGCACTACCACATTACTGAGTAATTGTGTGACATTGGGCAAGTCATTCCATGTTTTCTGGTGACAGCCTCCTTATCTGAGAACAAAACCCATGGACTCACTAGATTTAGTTCTAAGGTTCCCTCTGTGATTTTCTACTTTTTACACAATGTTAGCATGTCGTAGTGACAGTAATGTTAAGAAAGCACTTATAAAAAAATCCCAGGAGCACCTTTCTTGTTGAAGTTGCACTTGCCCATTTATTACTGCTCTCTTGGAGGAATTCTTTGTGTTTAGAAGTGTGTGTGAGGAACTTTGCCATGGAGACTTGTTGCAGAATGCATGACTAGCTGAGAAGCTTTGCTAGGGTAGAATAACCCTGCTTGTTTCCTGTGGGTATGGCTTAACACTTGGAAAATAAAATCAGTCTGTTTCAGTAATTTGGATACTGTGCAGAAAGTTACTCAACGACCTCACTTCCATGTAATTAGTCATCGTCTCTCAGACCTTCACAGTCCGAGTGTCCTGTACGTGACCAGGTTACTGAGCTTTTTAATCCTGACTTGATGGTTACCAAGGGGACTTTTGAAGTACTTTTTAAGAAAAGTTGCTTTTTCTTCTCTTTCTCAACTCAACACAGATTATATATATATATATATGTATGTATATGTGTATATATATATTTATTAGTTTATTTACAAAATTTGAATACATTGTTTTTCACACCAGATCCTTCCCATTTCCCTCCCCACCC